AATACATCTGGCGTATTCACGCGTTTCTAGACGCCCAGGGCAGATGCCACTTCTGCAAGAAACAGTGCGGCAGTGCCCCAGGCAAGTGCGCGGGCCCAATTGATAAATCACCGATCGAAATCCCGCCAGAGTTCGTCGTCCCACCAAAGCCGAGCGACTACAAGCCACCCAGAGCGAAGGGGTTTGCATCTACTTCAGCGGGGAAACCGACTCAACTGCCAGCGGGTCGTCCGGCCAATAGGGCAGCGTCCGTAGCTGGAGTGGCTGAAAGCAATATGTTCCCAGATCTTGACGAGGCAGCGGTATCAGCGTTTGCCGCGATCGACGAAGAACTCCGGGCAACCAGCAAGGATGAGTACGTGCTCCCCACCACACCCAGACGACTGATCATTCGTCTTAAAGCTGGAAATCAATACTTATTGGGTCTGGTTGACACAGGAGCCGAGATCAATTTGATCACTGAGAGGGCAGTGAGAAGTGGGAAGTTGCCAATGCTGGATCTTCCGAACCCCACCCGCGTCAGTTTAGCACTCAACAATGATTCTCGGTCTCCTTTAATTCTCAAACAATTCACGCGAGTCACGTTAACGGAGACACATTCAGCGGTGGAATTTAAAGATGTGGAACTCAGTATAGGCGCTGTTGTGGGAAACTACGATATGATACTCGGGGTGCCCTTCCTATCTCAATTTTTTATTTCTGTCTCTATCTCACAACACAATCTATTATGCGATAAAACCGGAAAAAACATATTGGATTATAGAACTCTTGATGCAATGAAACCAGAAGAGGGCCCTCCCACATTGGGAAGAGACAATTGCAACTACCCCATTGAGGAATCGGAAAAGACAGTCCTGAGGGAGTTCTCCGATCTATTTCCAGTGGACATCCCAGCGGTTTCAGATGAGGCGGAGATGTCTGGATGTTTCAAAGATGGTTCCTTCCCGGAAAGAATGCAAAAGGAAGATTCGAAGGTGAGGCACAAGATCATTTTGACCGATCCTAACGCTCAGATCAATGAGCGCCAATATTCATATCCGCAGAAATATATGACAGCGTGGCGTAAACTCTTGGATCAACACATTGAGGCAGGTAGGATCCGAAGATCTTCTAGTCAGTACGCTTCGCCTAGTATGATCATCCCGAAGAAGGATCCGACGGCACTTCCACGGTGGGTCTGCGACTACAGGACACTCAATAGTTTCACGGTCAAAGACCGCTCACCTCTTCCAAATGTGGACGAATTGGTACGCATGGTCGCGACAGGGAAAGTGTTCTCCATTCTGGATCAGACAAACGCTTTTTTCCAAACGAGAATGCGAGAGGAGGATATCCCTCTCACTGCGGTCAAGACTCCGTGGGGGTTGATGGAGTGGGTTGTCATGCCCATGGGACTAACGAACGCACCGGCAACTCACCAGGCAAGATTGGAAGAGGCGCTAGGGGAACTTATCAACAATATATGCGTGGTATATCTTGACGACATTGTGGTTTTCTCCGACTCATTCTTGGAACATGAGAAACACGTCCGCCAAGTACTCCAGCGACTCCGCGCAGCAAATCTGTACTGCAGCCCAAAGAAGACACAACTATTTCGGCATCAGATCAAATTCCTAGGGCATTGGATCTCGGCGGACGGCATACAAGCGGACAATGAAAAAATAGCTCAAATTTTAGATTGGAAGTCTCCATCCTCGGCCAAGGGGGTAAAGAAGTTCTTGGGGACAGTGCAGTGGATGAAAAAATTTATCTGGGGACTACAGAAGTATGTGGGCACTCTCACACCACTGACAAGCAGTAAACGTGCGCCAAAAGACTTCCACTGGGGACCAGCGGAAGAAAAGGCTTTCGAGAATATTAAGCGAATCATGACATCGCTTCCGTGCTTGAAGAATGTCGATTACGAATCGGATGACCCTCTTTGGCTCTTTACGGACGCTAGTGGATCGGGACTGGGGGCAGCCTTGTTTCAAGGGAAAGACTGGAAAGTTGCTTCGCCTATTGCCTATGAATCACACCTAATGACGCCAGCAGAGCGCAACTATCCTGTACATGAACAAGAGCTATTAGCGGTTATTCACGCCCTCCAAAAATGGAAGATGCTACTTCTCGGGATGAAGGTCAATGTTATGACAGATCACCATTCGCTAACCTACCTTTTGAAGCAACGGAGCCTCAGTCGGCGACAAGCGAGATGGCTCGAGATCCTGTCTGACTTCGACATCCATTTTGAGTACATCAAAGGCGAAGACAATTCAGTTGCGGATGCGCTATCTAGGAAAGACACCACGGAAGAAGATCGAGGCGTCACACAAGCAGATATTGCATGTGTAGCGTCACTCACCGAGTTAGGCAGTACACTATCGGAGTCAATACGGACGAAAATCACTACAGGATATGCTGAGGATTCATTCTGCAAGTCAGTAAAGAAGGTACTACCACTGCGAGACGACTGTGCGGAAGTGGAGGGACTGCTGTTTATAGATGGACGACTAGTTATTCCCGACAACGGAGATCTACGGCGAAACCTGATTAATGAGACACACCTTCGCCTTGGGCATCTAGGCTATTTGAAGACACTAGTGGAACTGCGCCGCGAATTTTTTTGGCCCCAGATGGCAAAACATGTGGCAAAATTTGTACAGTCATGTGAGACCTGCCAGAAGACCAAGGCTCCCACTACGGCCCCAACAGGAAAAATGCTGACACCATCATTTCCTAGGAAACCATTATCGGATCTCGCAATTGACTTTGTAGGCCCATTGAAGACATCGAATCATTATGACATGATCTTGACCTGTACGTGTCGGCTGTCAGGGTTTACTAGAATAATACCATGTCTACAAACAGACACGGCAGAACGCTCTGCAAATCGATTATTCAGCGGATGGATAGCACTGTTTGGAACGCCTCAGTCAATCTTGAGCGACCGGGATAAGACCTGGACGTCGCACTTCTGGAAAGCGTTAATGGAGAAGCTACGTATCAAATTCCATATGACAACCTCCTTTCACCCACAAGCCGACGGAAGGAGTGAGAGAACTAACAAGACAGTCGGTCAGATCCTCCGGTCATTCACAGCCAAGCGTCAAGGCAAATGGCTAGAAGCACTCCCAGTAGTGGAATTTGCTATAAATTCAGCCGTCAACGTCGCAACAGGTTACAGTCCATTTGAACTGATCTTTGGACGCAAACCGCAACTCTTCCCCTCATCCGAATGTTCAATTGAAGCCCCACCGAAACTGTTAGAGTGGACCAAAAGACGCGAAGCAGCCTGGCAAGAGGCACGGGATGCTCTATGGACTAGCCGAGTCAAACAGGCGGTTCAACACAACAAGCATACTAGGGATCGTCCGCCGCTGACGCCGGAATCTTGGGCCCTCCTGGATTCAGCGGATTGGAGGGGGCGACATCAAGGTGGCACGGATAAGCTTAAAGAGCGGTTTGAAGGCCCCTATCGGGTGCTGCGGGTAAGCAATCATGGACAGGACGTAGAGCTCAAGCTTCCAGAAGGCGACCGTCGGCATCCGACCTTTCATGTTTCAAAAGTAAAACCTTACTTCTGTTCAGAGGACGACGAATATAAAGGATTGTGGAAGTAAGTCCCACTCCTCTGATGCACCTCCGGGTATCTCTACGTAAAAGTTGTAAGACATCACCTTGGCCACGTTGTGAGCACACATGTTTTGCGGCATAGGACCCCCTACATCCGATGGATTTTACCCTTGACAACAACCAATGCCACAGCATCCTCTTTCAATCACATCAACATCCTCACACACGGTACTCACGAGCGCCGACAACCTCTCCTGCCTCTCTCTTCTCTTCCTTCCTCTTATTCTCCTCCCCACTCAATTCTGACACTTGGCCCCTTTTCCACTTTTCATCTCCTTTTCATTTAATTTTAATACTTCCTTTTTTTTTCTTTTTCTTTCATCGTCTTTCCAATCATTTCCTTCTGCTATCTTTTGTTTCCTCATTTCGCTGCGTCTTCATTCGCATTATAGGGGGGGAGAATGTGAAACCTCGCCACACACAGGTTTCACACATCAATCACAGAAGCTTACATAATCACCCCAACTCAATCTACTCTTATAAACCATCCTACTCCACCCCTGCCTAGCTCGGTAGAGAACTTCGGCCTTTTTCTTCTACCGAGCTAGGTGAGTAAAAACCCATTTTTGACTTCTTCTTCTTTTTCATTTTTATGATCATGTTCTTCTTTTCCTTCTTTTTTATTATCAATTGTACTGAGAGAACTTCGGCCTTTTTCTTCTACCGAGCTAGCTCCTTGAAATTCAGACACATTCAGGTTCTAGAAAAGTTCTCTCCAGGCGTGTTGCCTGTCTCGAAGTAAATTAAGATACAATAGTGAAGAGTCAAGACGTGACTCTTACAAAAGCTCCCTTGATTCTGAGCGCTCATTCTTTCCATCCTTCAATATTCTGGAACTTATAATCCGTGCTTCTTTCACTGATTAATCCCCAGAATATTCAGACACCAGTTAAACCAGTTAACATTTATATTGATACAGTACATGTAACCAACATAAATCTTGTCTACATTTATTGTTCTTAAGCTTCAGTACTCTTACTCAACTTATCCACAGTATTCATAGCCTTGCTGAATATTCCCATCAACAATACCTGTTAATCTTCAACTAATTTTGTTAAAGCTTAATAAGTATTGTTAGCCCATTCCCTTTTGGGAATAACCAAATCAATCCCAGGTGAGTCTTAGTACCCTGGATGCCTATTAATACCTTGTATTGATCCGGATGCGCTGTTGATAGCAAGCCTCTCAGTAAAGACCATACTGATAGAGTGAAACCTCCTCTTTACAGGACTGGTATTAATCACCCACTACCTAACACTCAACACACTCAAAAACTTCAGTCAAATCATAGTAACAACCTTTTTACTATTAAATACTCAGGTTAGTTACCCAGAGGCTGACACTTATCCACTACTCCAAAACTTAAGTTGAAGTAATTATTAACAATGGTTATCGTTGGTTTGGTTTTTGTACTTGTGGAAAAGCTTACTCTGCTGGTCATGCAGCCGATGAATCATTCTTGGCCTTCAACAAAAGATACACTCAATTCTTTGAAGGTGTACAAGACTTATTCGAGGTCCGTGTCAAGAACGACTATTCATCTCCTCAAACGACAACACCAAGAACGATGATCTGTCTCTTTTTTATTCATTCAATCTTGTTGAAATTTGAATTCCTCTTTTGATTCATCCTTCCTCATTGAACCAAAAAATATCAATTTCATCAGATAGCTCCAACGTGGCCTCAACAACTGTTCCCGCTTGGAACGTTATTGCAAATGTCACACCTGATCGTTACGCAACTGGGATGTCCGTTGGATCTAGCCATGTTCTATGTGTGCCCAACTCTCCAAAAAAGTGCTCTCAGCAGCTATCTTCCTTACTTCCAAGCTGCTGGGGTCGTTCAAATCATCTCAGCCTCGCCACTTGGCAATATTTTACTGACCACCCAAGGCCCTCCGGATTGGCAGCCAGCTCCCAAAGCTCTCTGCCAAGTGATCAAGGAGGTCGCCAAATCTATTCAAACGACCCATCATCTGTCCATAGAACACATCTCCCTTCTCTACCGGGGGTTGATAAGCGCACGCCAACCCCCAAGGTGCACGCCAATCTGCACGCCACTTGCAGATTGGCGTGCAGGCCCACACGCCAAAGCAGATTGGCGTGCAGGCTCACACGCCAAAGATGATTGGCATGGACAGATGATGGCCACTTTGAATAGATTTGGCGACCTCCTTGATCACTTGGCAGAGAGCTTTGGGAGCTGGCTGCCAATCCGGAGGGCCTTGGGTGATCAGTAAACTATTGCCAAGTGGCGAGGCTGATATGACTTGAACGACCGCAGCAGCTTGGAAGTAGGGAAGATAGCTGCTGAGAGCACTTTTTTGCCAGGATGGGCACACATTAGAACATGGCTAGATCCAACGGACATCCTAGTTGCGTTGCATACCACGACTGGAGCTGTCAGCTGCTCGAGATAGCTCCTAGTTTTTCTCTGGACCCCGCATGAGATCGTCCGATCCCGAATATAATACAAGCCGAATCTACCCGTCCCCGTGAGCAGTTCGAGGAGAACCCGGAGTGGGTCAATTCTGTGCCTAGGCCGGGTCAAGCGCGCTCAGAGCCGGCAGGTTCGAGGTACACGGCAGGGTACGTTCTCCTCAACTTGGATTCT